CTCTTCTCTCTCACACACACTCTTCTCTCTCTCTCTCTCTCTCTGTCTGTCTGTCTGTCTGTCTGTCTCTCTCTCTCTCTCTCTCTCTCTCTCTCACACACACACACACACACACACTGGGATGGTTTGAACAAAATGTCCCCACAGGCCAAAAAAAAAAAAAAAAGATTGATTATGTAGTCTTCGCTTGCATGTATGCCTTCCCACCAAAAGGGGGCACCAGATCTCATTATAGATGATTTTGAGTCATCATGTGGTTGCTGAGAATTGAACTCAGGGCCTCTGGAAGAACAGCCAGTGCTCTTAACCTCTGAGCCATCTCTCCAGCCCTCCCCCCTAATTATTCCTTATCTTTAAAAAAATCAGGAGTCAGATATGTGGGTAAGAGCCTGAAAGATCAGAGAACCAAGAAGCCACCAGTCACCTCCTACCTGCTCTGTTCCTTCCTCCAAAAGAGGCTGAGATCTCTCTCAGGACCACCTAACTGCCTCCTGTCTCCTATTTGTCCAAAGTTCTCCAAACATCCATGGTTAATCTTTGTCAGCTAGTGGCTAGCTCCGCCCTCTGACTCCAAATAAGCTTTATTATCAGAACATGATCAAAATATCACACATTAGCTCTTTCCCCCTTCTCAGACCTTCCTCATAGTCCATCTTCATTGCCTCTGCCACCATCCAACCCACAGAGACACCCGACCAGAAACCCCACAACCACCACACTTGCCTAGGATCCCCAGAGGTCAATAGCAACCAAAGAATGGAACACCCTCCCAACAAAGACAAGATCAGCTATCTACACCAACAAACACCTCAAACATCCTAACTCCAATTCAAACAAGAGCTAATACCAGTACTCCTCAAATTGTTCCACACAATAGCAGCAGAAAGGACATTGCTAAGCTCTTTCTATGAGGCTACAATTACCTTGGTACCCAAGCCACACAAAGACACAATAAAAAAAGAGAATTACAGACCAATCTCCCTCATGAACATTGATGCAATAATATTCAACAAGATACTGGCAAATTGAATCAAAAAACATATCAGAGAAATCATCCACCACGATCAAGTTGGCTTTATCTCAGGAACGCAGGGATGGTTCAACATACAAAAATCCATCAATGAAATCCACCATATAAACAAACTGAACAAGAAAAACCACATGATAATCTCGCTAGATGCTGAAAAAGCATTTGACAAAATCCAGCATCCCTTCCAGATAAAGACCTTGGAGAGAATAGGAATAAAAGGAACATATCTAAACATGATAAAAGCAATATACAGCAAACCAACAGCAAACATCAAACTAAATGGAGAGAAACTCAAAGCGTTTCCTCTAAAATCAGGAACAAGACAAGGCTGTCCACTCTCTCCATATCTTTTCAATATTGTACTTGAAGTTCTAGCTAGAGCAATAAGACAACAAAAGGAGATCAAGGAGATACAAATTGGAAAGGAAGAAGTCAAACTCTTCACTATTTGCAGATGATATGATAATTTACATATGTGACCCAAAAAATTCTACCGGGAAACAACTACAGTTGATAAACACCTTCAGCAAAGTGGCAGGATACAAGATTAACTCAAAAGAATCAGTAGCCCTACTGTATACAGATGGTAAATGGGCTGAGAAAGACGTCAGAGAAACATCACCCTTTACAATGGCAACTAACAACATAAAATATCTTGGGGTAACACTAATCAAAAAATTAGAAAGACCTGTATAGTAAGAACTGTGAGTCTTTGAAGAAAGAAATTAAAGAAGATACCAGAAAATGGAAAGATCTCCCATGCTCTTGGATAGGTAGGATCAACATAGTAAAAATGGCAATCTTGCCAAAAGCAATCTACAGATTCAATGCAATCCCCATCAAAATCCCAACACAATTCTTCACAGACCTTGAAAGAACAATTCTCAACTCTATATGGAAAAACAAAAGACACAGAATAGCCAAAACATCCCTGTACAATAAGGGAACTTCTGGAGCCATCACCATCCCTGACTTCAAGCTTTATTACAGAGCCATGGTCCTGAAAACAGCTTGGTATTGGCACAAAAATAGACAGTTAGACCAATGGAATGGAATTGAATTGAAAACTCTGATATTAACCCACACACCTATGAACCTGATTTTTGACAAAGAAGCTAAATTTATACAGTGGAAAAAAGAAAGCATCTTCAACAAATGGATGCTGACATGTAGAAGACTGCAGATAGATCCATGTCTATCGCCACGCACAAAACTTAAGTCCAAAATGGATCAAAGACCTCAACATAAATCCAGCCACACTGAACCTATTAGAAGACAAAGTGGGAAATACCCTTGAATTAATTGGTAAAGGAGACCACTTTCTGAACATTACACCATTAGCACAAACTTTGAGATCAACAATTGATAAATGCGACCTTCTGACACTGAGAAACTTCTGTAAGGCAAAGGACACAGTCAGCAAGACAACACCGCAGCCCACAGACTGGGAAAAGATATTCACCAACCCCACAGCTGACAGAGGGCTGATTTCCAAAATATACAATGAACTCAAGAAGCTACCCACCAAAACACCAAACAATGCAATTAAAAAGTGGAGTGCAGAAATAAATAGAGAGTTCTCAACAGAGGAACCTGAAATGGCTGAAAGACACTTGAGAAAGTGCTCAACATCCTTATCCATCAGGGAAATGCAGCTCAAAACCACTCTGAGATACCATCTTACTCCTCTGTCAGAATGGCTAAAATCAATAGCACCAATGACAGTCTATGCTGGAGAGGATGTGGAGAAAGAGGAACACTTCTCCACTGCAGATGGGAGTGCCAACTTGTACAGCCACTTTGGAAATCAGTATGGTGGTTTCTCAGGAAATTGGGAATCAGTTTACCTCATGATCCAGCAATTCCTCTCTTGGGCATATTCCCAAAGAATGCACATTCATACAACAAGGAAATCTGTTCAACTATGTTCATAACAGCATTATTTGTAATAGCCAGAATCTGGAAGCAACCTAGATGCCCCTCAACTGAAGATTAGATAGAGAAAATGAGGTACATTTACACAATAGAGTACTACTCGGCAGAAAAAAAAAAAAAACAATGGAATCTTGAAATTCACAGGCAAACGGATGGAACTAGAAGAAACCATCCTGGGTAAGGTAACCCAATCAAAAAAAATATAAACATGGCATATACTCATTAGACTTTGAGTCATCTAGTGTTTGTACCTTGGGCATGTCATCCTCTTCAAAGCACCTCAGTGTCCCAGTGTCCAGTGCTTAGACACCAAAATTTAGTGTCACTGTACTATATAGAACCCCTGAACAAAGTGGGAGCACGGGGCATGGGTGGAGAGGAAGGAGGTGGGAAGGGAAGAAGGGGAGGGGGGAGGAGAACAAGAGGACTGAGACAGGGGAGGAATAGAATAGGGCAAGAAAGGAGATGCCTTGAGGAGCAAAGGATCACTAGCCTACAATCCACACTGCCAGAGGAGCTAAGAAACAAGGAGGAACCCAAGAGAAGATTGCATAGCCCCTCGAAGAAGGGGAGGGGGACAAGAACCCCTGACCAAATTGGAGCCCGGTGGCAGGGAGACAAAGGAGAGTCTTCCAGTCGCTGTTCGAAGCAGAAACAGACACCCACAGCTAAGCACTGAACCATACTCCAGGAATCAAGTTGTGGAGAGGGAGGAGGGATGAGCAAAGGAGCCAAGACAATGCTGCAGAAATCCAAAGAAACAGTTGGCCTGACCTAGTGAGAGCTGGAGACCCTAATCATAAAGCTGGGGAAACAGCATTGGACCTAACCAAGCCCTCTGAATGTGGGTGCCAACCAGGACGCCAAGACAGTCTAGGAGACCTCTCGGGAGGAGTTGGGGGATGGGTTGGGGGGTTGGTGGGGAACATGGGAGGATGGGAGGGCAAGGGAATGGGGGGATAGATATGTAAATATGAGTAGTAATTAAAGAATTTAAATATAAATAAATAAATTAATTAATTAAATAAATAAAAACATCCTAACTCCAGATGTCTAGACCTCAGCCCCAAAACACAAACCTGAACAACCAAGACAATATGTTTCCACTAGAGCACAGTGAGCCTATTACAGTAGGCTCTGAGAAAAGCAGCTTTTCTGAATCATAAGACAAGGATTTCAAAATAGCAATTATGAATATGTTCAAGACACTTAAAGATGCTATGAATAAATCCCATAATAAACACAAAGAGACAGTTGAGTGAAATAATGAGGACTGGGGAGATGGCTCAGTAGTTAAGAACATGTACTGCTCTTCCAGAGAACCTGAGTTTGATCCCCAGCACTCACATCAAGTGGCTCACAACCACCTGTCATACACATAATTTAAAAATGCATAATTTTAAAGAAATAATGAAAATAACTCCAAAAATGAAAGAAGAAATAGAATCACTAAAGAAAATCCAAACTGAAATAAAACTGCAAATAAAAAATTTAGGATGTCAAACAAAAACCTCAGAGGTAAGCCTTGCCAACAAGTTACAAGACATGTAAGAGAGAATCTCAGGTGGTGAAGACAATGTAGGAAAAATGGATACCTCAGGCAAATAAATTAAAGAAAAAATCCAGACATGAACTATCCAAGAAATCTGGGACAGTATGAAAAGACCAAATCTGTGAATAGTAAGAGTAGAGGAAGGAAAAGAAACCCAGGACAAAGGCAAAGAAAATAATCCCCAGCCTAAAGAATGAGGTCCCAACCAAGGTACAAGAAGCATACCAAACACCAAATAGAATTATAAAAGAAATTTCTCAGAACATATATTAATCAAAACACTAACCCTACAAAGAAAGAATATTAAAAGCTGCAAGGGAAAAAATAGCAAGAAACATGTAAAGGCAGACATGTTTGTATAACACCTGACTTTTCTTATAAATTCTTGTTTAAAATTTCTTATTAAGTAATCAATTAATTGATTTTCCCAGCCCAATAACAGTCTCCACTCCCTCCCTTCCTTTCCTCCAGTCCAAACTCCCCTCTCCCCCATCCACTCCCTCTTCTTTCCTTTCAGAAATGTGCAGGCCTTCCATGTATGTCAGCCAGCCATGGGTTATCAAGCTGCAGCAAGATTAGGCACCTCCCCTCCTATCAAGGCTGGACAAGGCAACTCAGCAGGAAGAAAGAGTCCCAAGAGCAAGCAACAGAATCAGAGACAGCCCCTACTCCCTCTGCCATGAGTCCCACAAGAAAGTCAAGCCACACAACTGCAACACATGTTGTTGCAACACATGTGCAAAGGGCCCAGATCAGTCCTGTGCTAGTTCTCTGGTTAGCGGTTCAGCCTTGGTGAGTTCCCATGATCCCAGGTTAGTTGATTCTGTGAGTTTTCTTGTTATGTCCTTGGCCCATCTGGCTCCCAAAGTCCTTCCTTCCCCTCTTCTACAGGATTCCCTGAGGTCTCCCTAATGTTTGGCTGTGGGTCTCTGCATCTGTTCCTATCAGTTTCTGGGTGAAGCCTCTTTGGTGAGTATAGCATTAAGAATAATTTCATTTACTTTTTTTCTTTTTTGACAGTCGTGTTTAGTTCTATCCTAGGTCTCTGGGGTGTCAAGTCTCTCCGTCCAAACCCTCCAGGCATTGTCAGGAGTGGACTCCCTTTCATAGTATGTGTCTCAAGCTGGACCAGTCATTGTTTGGCCACTCCCATAATTTCTGTACCACCTTTGACCCAGCATATCTTGTAGGGGCAAATTGCAGGTCTGAAGTTATGTGGCTGGATTGGTATCCCAAGCCCTTCACTGGAAGTCTTGCCTGGTTACAGAAGATGGCTGGGTCAGGCTCTGTATCTCCCCTTACTTGGAGTCTTAGCTAGGGTCATCCTCATAGATTCCTTGGGGTTTCCGTTGCACTAGGTTTCTAGCTCATCCCAGAGATGCCCCTAATTGCAGTTGTCTTTCCCATGACTCTCCCCCTCCGTTCTCCCCTACCTGGTCCCTAGATCACCCCAAATCCAGACTCATACCCCACCCACTTGTGATGTCTATTCTATTTCCCCTTTGCAGTGAGATACATGTGAGTCATCCCCATCCCCCTGCCCACTTGAGCCTTCGTTGTTATTTAGGTTCTTTGAATCTGTGGATTGTGTCATGGTTTTCCTTTACTTTATGGCTAATATCCACTTATGAGTGAGTACATACCATGTTTGTCTTTCTGGGTCTGGGTTTCCTCACTCGGGATGATCTTTTCTATTTCCATCCATTTGCTGGCAAATTTCACAATGTCATATCACCTGACTTTTCAATGGAGACTCAGAAAGCCATTAAGTCCTACATAGATAGTTGGATGTTCTATAAACTGTAAGATACCACAGATGTAAGACAAGATTATTATACCCAGCAAAACTATTAACCATAATCAACAGAGAAAGAAAAACATTCCATGATAAAGCCAAATTTAAGCAATTTCTATCTACCAGGCCAGTTCTATAGAAGGCACTAGATGGAATTTTTCAGTCTAAAGAGGTTAACCACACTCAAGAGAACACAAGGAATAAACATTCCCAAGACAGCAAATCAAAAGATGGGGGAAATACCATACCATAACAACAAAATTACAGGAATCAATAAACACTACTCATTGATAATTCTCAATATCATTGGTCTCAATTTCCCAATAAAATGATAGAAACTAACAGATTAGGATCAGAAAATATTATACATCTTTCTGTTGCATCCAAGAAACACACCTCACTACCAAGGACAGACATCACCTCAGAACCAGATGATGGTGCACTCATTTAATCCCAGCACCTTGGAGACAGAGGCAGGGGGATCTCTGAGTTCAAGGCCAGCCTGGTCTCCAGAGTAAGTTCCAGGACATCCAAGGCTACACAAAAAGACATCACCTAAGATGAAAAAAAGATATTCCAAGCAAATAGACCTAAAAAGAAAGCTGGTGTAGCCATTTTACTAACTAACAAAATAGACCACACACCAAAACTAATCCAAAGAGATAGAAATGGACACTATACACTCATCAAATGAAAATCTCACCAAGAGGATATTATTTTTTTCAACTTTGTTTTTTTTTCATTTTTTGTTAATTTTTTACATTCCAATCCCAGTTCCCTCTCCCTCCTTTCCTCTCAAGCCCTCCACTCCCCCTCCTCCCATATGCTCCATGCAGAGGGTAAGGCCTTCCCTAGGAAGTCTACTAAGTCCCATCATCTAGTTGAGGCAGAACCAAGCAAGGCACCTCTCCACCCCCACACCCCTGTGTCTAGGCTGGGTAAGGTATCTCTCCATATAGAATGGGCTCCACTGCTCTCTCTCTTTCTCTTTCTGGTGGCTGTCCTCTCTCTCTTCTCTCTTACTCTCTGCCCTGCTCTATTCTTCCATTTCTCTCCTCTCCCCCTCTAGCTCTCCCACCCTACAATAAACTGGTTAATGTTAAAGAAAGGAAGAAAGAAAGAAAGAAAGAAAGAAAGAAAGAAAGAAAGAAAGGGCTCCACTAAGTCATTTTGTGCATTAGTGTTAGATCTTAGGCCCACTTCTGAAAGACCCCAGACCCCTAAGGGCCTCAGGATCCCGAGAAGCCCCTGAGACTCAGAAGCCAGACCAAGAGCTGCAGAAGCAAGAGGGTTTATTGAACAAATGCATATTCGGGTGTCAGCAATATCGGAGAAGCTGCACACCCCAGCAAGGGTTATATTATAGGCTCCTTATATAGGAAAAAACTGCAGATCAGCATACAGGCAAGGGGCACAAAGTGATTGATTACAAAGTATGATCTCATGTTAGAGTGGTCACCCAGGTGTTACTTGCTTTTTCACAAAGGAAAAACCACAGAACGTACCCTGAAAAGTCCTTGATTGTCTGTTGGCCAGCCAGGTGTGACTCAAAGAGAGTTGTCTTGGCGATTGCCCCCGTCTAAACCATAGGATGTGCCTGGGGTTGGGCCAACTTCCTTGTAATGGGCCAAGGCCTGTGGGAAGCTTTTACTCTCTGTGAACTAAAATGAGCAAGGTATCTCTCCATATAGAATGGGCTCCACTAAGTCAGTTTGTACATTAGTGTTAGATCTTGGACCCACTGCCAGTGGCCTCATATATTGTCCCTGCTGCACCATTAATTAAGGGAATCTAGTTTGGTCTTATGCCAGTTCCACATTTGTCAGACCTGAGTCAGTGATTTCTCACTAGCTTGGGCCAGCTGATTCTGTGGGTTTCTCCATCATGGTCTTGACTCCTTTGTTCATATTTTTGCTCCTCCCTCACTTTGATTGTACTCCAGGAGCTTGGCCCATTGGTTAGTTGTGGATTTCTGCATCTGCTTCCATCTGTTTCTGGAAGAGGGTTCAAGCTTCTCTCAGAGTCTGTGCTACTGGTGTTTTATTTAGGAAGTGGTCTCCTGCTTTGATTCGATTCCATTGGTCCATCTGTCTGTTTTTAAGCCAGTACTAAGCTGTTTTCAATACTATAGCTCTATAGTACAGCTTGAAGTCAGGGATGGTGATCCTTTATTATACAGTATTGTTTTGGCTATCCTGGGTTTTGTTTTGTTTTGTTTTTCCATATGAAGCTGAGTATTGTTCTTTCAAGGTCTGTGAAGAATTGTGATGGGAATTGTATTGAATCTGTAGATTACTTTTGGTAGGATTGCCATTTTTACTATGTTGATCCTGCCTATCCAAGAGCATGGAAAATCTTTCCATTTTCTGATATCTTCTTTTAATTTCTTTTTTTAAAGACTTGAAGTACTTGTCGTATGGGTGTTTTGTGTGTTTGATTAGTTAGCCCAAGATATTTTATGTTATATGTGACTATTGTGAAGGGTGATGTTTCTCTGATTTCCTTCTCAGCCCATTTGTCAACTGTATATAGGAGGGCTACTGATTTTTTAGTTAATCCAAGAGGGTATTATAATTGCAAACATTTATATACAATACACAAGGGAACCCAAGTTAACGAAAGAAAAACCACAACTAAAATAACATATTGACCTCACATATCGATAGTGGTAACTTCAATAGTCCAGTCTCACCAATAGACTAGCCTTCTGACAAAATCTAAACAGATCTATGCTGGAGTTAAATAACTTCATGTATCAAATGAACCTAGCAGAGATCTACAGAACAATTCACTCATGTGTCAAACACAAGAGAACATACATTATTCTCAGCAGCTCATAGAATGTTCTCCAAAACTGGCCACAGACAAGAAAAATGAAATAACATCCTATCTGATCACCATGGATTAAAGCAGGATATCAGCAACAGAAACAACAGAAGATATACAAACTCATGGAAACTGATCAACTCACTGCTGAATGAGAAATGGGTCAAGACAGAAATCCAAAAAGAAATTACAATTTTTTAATTGAATAAGAATAAAACACAGCCAGGCATTGGTGGTGCACTCCTTTAATCCCAGCACTCGGGAGATAGAGGCAGGCGGATCTCTGTGAGTTTGAGACCAGCCTGGTCTACAAAGTGAGTTCAAAGACAGCTAGGACCATTATACAGAGAAACCCTCCTGGGGTGGCAAACTTATGGACACATGGCTGGTGGTGCTGAGGCAAGTTTCATACCACTAAAGTGCCTACATAAAAAAACATTAGAGAGACCTCATATTAGCAACATAGCGACACACTTGAAAGCTCTAGAATAAAAATAATACCTGAAAAGAATACATGTCAAGAAATAACCATACTTAGAGCTAAAATCAATAAAATAGAAACAAACAAAAGAGTACAAAGAATCAGTAAAAGGAAGAGTTGATTATTTGAGAAAATCAGTAAGACTGACAAATCCTTCACCAAATTATCTAAAAAATGAGAGAGAAGATCTAAATTAATAAAATTAGAGAAAAGGGGGGACATCAAAACAGGCACTAAAGATATCCATCCTTAGAACATACACTAAAATATGTACTCCAGCCAGGCATGGTGGCACACGCCTTTAGTCCCAGCACTTAGGAGGCAAAGTAGGTTAATCTTTATGAATTTGAGACCAGCCTGATCTACAGAGCAAGTTCCAGGACAGCTAGGGCTACACAGAAAAACCCTGACTCAAAAAAAGAATCTATACTCCACCAAACTGGATAATCTAAAAGAAATGGATGAATTCTTTTTTTTTCTTTTTGGAGGCTGTCCTAGAACTTGCCTTGTAGACCAAGCTGGCCTCAAACTCAAATATCCACCTGCCTCTGCTTCCTGAGTTCTGGAATTAAAGGTGTGTGCCATCAATGCCTGGCACTAAGACCTAACCAAAAAGAAGAGGAGGAAGAAGGAGGAGGAGAAAATTATAGATCAATAACCCTTAAGATAGGTGCAAAACTTCTCAAGAAAATATTTACAAACCAAATCCAAGAACATATGAAAAAATTATCCACCATGATCAAGTTGATCAACTGCCAAACTCTTTCCCCTGCTGGGATCTTCCAGTGTTAGCTCTCCTGAGGTCTGTCCTTTAACTATCAGTTCCTAAACTTGTTTCATTACAAGTGTGAGCATTGCAGCCCATCCCTTCAATTGTAAATATGCATTTCTTCCTTGTTCTTCAGCGCATCCATGTCCATAAAATCATTTCCTGGTAGTGACTGTTTCAAGGAGCTGCCTTCCATGGCTTTCTTAGCGGAAGTCTGAGTGTAACAACCAACAACATACCAGAAAATTGCAATCTTACCAAAAGCAATGTGCAGATTCAATGCAATTCTCATCACAATCCCAACACAATTCTTCATGGACCTTCAAAGAATGATACTCAACTTAATATGGAAAACCAAAACCCAGAATATCGAAAAATAGTCATATACAATAAAGGAAATTTCTAGAGGCATCCACCTCCCTGAGCTTAAGCTCTACTATAGAACTTATTAGTGAAAACATCTTGATATTGCCATAAAAACAGACAGGTGGACCAATGGAATTGAATCGAAGACCCTGATATTAATCCACACCCCTGTGAATACTTGATTTTTGACAAAGAGGCTAAAATTATACAGTGGAATAAAGAAAGCTCCTTCAACAAACTGTAATGGCAAATTGGATGTAGGATAACATGTAGGATAAGGCAAATAGAACCATATCTATTCCCATGTACAAAACTCAAGTCCAAATAAATCAACAACCTCAGCAATAATCCAGCCACACTGATACTTAAAGAAGAGAAAGTGGGAAGTAGTCTTGAATGCATGGGAACAGGTGAACACTTCCTAAATATAATGCCGGGAGCACAGACACTGAGAACAACAATTAACAAATGAGACCTACTGAATCTGAGAACCTTCTGTAAACTAAAGAACACAGCCAACAAGACCAAATGGCAGTCTACAGAATAGGAAGAGATCTCCACCAACCCCATACCTGACAGAGGACTGATCTTCAAAATATACAAAGAACTAAAAAATGTAGACATCAAGCTATCAAATAATCCAGTTAAAAATGTGGTCAGGTCTAAACAGACAATTCTCAACAGAAATATTCCAAATGGCCAAAAGACATTAAAGAATTGCTCAACATCCTTAGCCATTAGGGAAATGCAAATCAAATTGCCTCTAAGATACCATCTTACACTAGTCAGAATGGATCACATCAAAAACACCAGTAATAGCTTATGTTGGAGAGGATGTGAAATAAGCTGAACACTCCCTCACTGCTGCTGGTAGTGAAAATTTGTACAGTCACTTTGGAAATCAGTATGGTGGTTTCTCAGAATGTTGGGAATCAATCTATCTCAACACCCAGCAATACAACTCCTGGACATATGCCCAACAGATGCCTTCTCATAGCACAAGGACATTTTAGGCAAATGGATGAAACTAAAAACAACCATCCTGTGTTTAGTAACCCAGACCCAGAAAGTTAAGCATGGTATGTACTCATGAGTGGATATTAGATGTACATCAGAGGATAATGGTCCTATAGCTCATGACCCCAGAGAAAGTAGGTAACAAGCAGAACTTAGAGAAAGGCCCTTAGGAAAGGGAAATAGAAAAGATGGGAGCAGATACTGAGAGGGAGTGGATAGGAAGAGAGAAGTGGAGAGGTAGAGGAGAAAGGAATGGGGGAGATTATGAGGGAACTGGTTGATGAAGATGGAGGAAGGACAGAGAGGGAGAACAAAAAAGAGAGATCTTGATTGAGAGAGTCATTCTGGGGCTAGTGAGAAATCTGGCAGTACGGAAATTCCCAGAAATACACAAAGATGACCCCATCTAAGATCCTAAGTATTGGAAGGTAGGACGCCTGAACTGGTCTTTTCCTGTATTCAGATTGATGACTACCTGAATTATCATCATAGAACCTTCATCCAGCTACTGATAGAGACAGATGTGGATATGCACAGCTAAGCACTGGGCAGAGCTCCCAGAGTCTAGATGAAGAGAGGTAGGAGAGATAATATGAGCAAAGAGGTCAAGACTATGTTTGGGAGATCCACTGAGAAGGCAGACCTGAGCAAGTGGGAGCTCACTGACTCCAGACTGACATCTGGGGAACTTACATGGAACAGAACTGGGCCCTCTGAATGTGGGTGACAGTTTTGTAGCTTGGGCAGTTTGTAGCTTGGGCCACTGTCAGTGGAACCAGGGTTTATCCCTAGTACTTGAACTGGCTTTTTGGAGCCCATTCTCTTTGGAGGGATACCTTGCTCAACTTAGATAAAGGGGTAGGGCCTTGGTCTTGTCTCAGGAAGATGTGCCAGCCTTTGTTGATTCCTCATGGGAAGCCTTACCATCTCTGAGGAGTTAATGGGGAAGGGTGGAGGGAAGGTGGGGAGAGCAGGAGGAACGGAGGGAGTGGGAACTGGAATTGGTATGTAAAATGAGAAAATATTTTTTTAAAATAAAAAAAAATCAGGTTAAAAAAAAAGGCGTGTGTCACCACCACCTGACGAGATAAAAGTTTTGAAACTTTTCAAGTCCTTGAACATTATGTCAGCAATAAATTAAATACTCTCTGGAAGTTATTCCCAAAATTTTAGAAACAAATACCTTGAAAGAAGTACATTCAAATTTTGAGTGTTCTCATTTCTGTCTCATTCTTACACAGGAAATTTACTTTGTATTATATTTTTATTAGGAAGGAGAAGTATTGTCTCTCTGGTTACTCCAGGTTACCTTCTCACATCTCAAGTTTGGAAGGTAAGAACTGAAAAAGAGAGAGAAGATATTTTTCATTCTAAGTTTGGGTTGTCACACTTTATTTCTGTTAATCCTATGTGCCAAACCATTTTTTGATTGAAATTTTTTGTGTTCCTGGATAGTTTTCAATTGAGAATTAGGAGAGAGGGTAAAGAAGGTAATGGCTGGAAACGACTGAGGATGTGGGAAAATGGGAAAAGTGTGGAGAAGATTTCTATTAGAAATGAAATGTGACAGTCTATTTAGGAGAGGGAGGAGGAACAACACTACTAGGGATGGGAAATACCCATTTTACTTTCTCATGATAGTCTATGCAATTCCCCAAGTAGTCTATGCTATCACTGTTTCCTTTGGTCATCTATGCTACATTGAAGGTAAGTTGAATTGGCTGGAGCCATTGCACACTTTGGATGCAGGACTTGGAAAGGTTCTGTTGGATCTAACCCTAAAGCCATCCTTCATTTAGTCTGTCACAGTAATAGAGACAGTGTAAGTTGCCAAGTGAGAGAAGCAGACAATAGCCCTCCCCAAGAGTGACATCTGTGTTGTTTTGAATGAGAATGGACCTCATAGATTCCCATATTTGAATGCTTAGTTGCCAGTTGGTATAACTGTTGGAAAGTATTAGAAGATGTTTTAGTTACAGAGGATTAGTTTATGGGTTGCTTTGAGGCTTCAGTGTTATCACTGGTCCAAGTTAGCTCTTTCACTGCCTCCAACTTTCAGATCATGCTGCCTTTGTTATGCTTGCCTGCCTGCTGCCTTGTTACCTATAACTATAATCATGGCTCCAACATCTGGAACTACGATTGTCCTGAAATATTTTCTTTCGTAATTTGTTTTGGTCATGAATTCTCATCACACCAATTGGAAAGAAAATAAGAACACCATGGACCTAAATGCTCATCAACATGGCAAAAATGTCAATACAGGTTTAGTAGCAGTGTCATCCATGTCATTTAGTAACCAGCTACTGTATAATTAGACTTAATGCCTGTTCAACCGGAGAGAAAACGTGCCAATAAGTCAGAACCAATTCATCAGTATAATGAGATCATGGATTTTAAAAAACCTACTACTGCCACTTTAGGAGGTCAGCATAATTCCTTAGTGTTAAAATTTATATTAAAATTTTTATTTATAGTCTCAAAAGTATGTCCCATGCATTTCTTTAAATAATCTCTTTGGAGAAACCAGACAATTCCAGTAAACCACATTTGTTCATATTGTAGAGATTAATTGAAGGTCAGGATCCCAGGCCTACTTAGTACATCTACAATCAATGCCTACACCTGAGTCTCAGGGAATACCCTGAAAGGGTGGCATTATTATTAGAACCTGGCTACCAGGTGTCGGCTTTAACAGAGAAGCAACACATATAATACAGCAGCAACAGAGTTGTGGAAACAAGAACAATGACAATACTAACAGGCACATAGGTCTCATGGGGTACTCCCTCTACAAAAATAAAATAAAATGAACTACTATTGAGAGAAGGAGAGGTAGTATATCCAAGGTTCGAGTCATCTAATTGGTTATTCAATTAAGCATATTAAGATCTAAAATCCTATATAATCAAACAACAAAAACAGTGGTATATTTTATCATATATATGAATCCATATATGAAACAATAATAAAGAATACTGTGCCATCTACCATAGAAGGTATTATGAGTACATAGGAAAGGTTGGAGGGAGGAAATGGAAAGGGAAGTATGATTGTTATTTAATAACATTTTAAAAAGGTGTTGGGCCGGGCGGTGGTGGCGCATGCCTTTAATCCCAAATAATAATAATAATAATAATAATAATAATAATAATAATAATAATAATAATAATAATAATAATAATAATAATAATAATAATAATAATAATAATAATAATAATAATAATAATAATAATAATAATAATAATAATAATAATAAGGTGTTGGAAGGTAGGCTTATCAGTCATGAGTGCTTACCATTCTTGCAAAGAATTCAGGTTCAGTTAAGGCACACTCATGCCCTGTTTCTCCTAAAATGACTCTAGCCCTTCCCCAGACCACATTCACCTGGATCCTCAGGTGAGCATCCTATGCCATCCTCAATCCCTATATGTAGGGTTAAGGAGTCAACAATCCCAGCCCTGATAATCTTTTCAAGAGGGCACTTTGGAATTCCCCAAGATGGAGGTTGCTTAGCTAGAAAGGCGGTCATTCACATCATGACTACCATTAGTCAAAACAGCCCCTCTCGTGAAGAACATCCATGTTGGTCACCATTAGAGTCACAATTTCGCAGACTCCTGGAGGAAATACTGGTGGATTTTACAGTCTATTTCTGCTAAAAAGAGTCCTGTGAATAACAGATGGAGAGATGCCTCAGTAGATAAGAGCATAGACTTCTGTTCCTGTGCACAACGGTTGACTCCTAGCACTATATCATGGCCCCCAACAGTATGTGACTCCAGTTTCAGGTCTAGAATATCATCTTCCTGCCTGATAGGGCAGCAAACACTATGAGGCACACAGCTGTACATTCAAGAAAAACACAGATACTCATGAAATGAAATAAATATTGATGAACATCAGTGGCATGGCCCTGGAGGCAATAGCATGCATTACGTGTTCCCAACCTTAATCATTTAGTGTCTCTTACTCATCATTTGAGCATGACTGTTGTGGGCTTCTGTCTAAGCAGGCAGAGTGGTCCTGATACTTGTGAATATTAACTCTAAAGAATGCAGAATTTCTTCATGACGTTGGGCAAAGACAACATTTTCTCTAGTTCAAGCGATGCTTTTCATAACACTGAATCCTTAGTGGAATTATCCGGACACCTAAGTCTATTTTATTCATCCTTTGAGGAATTTTGTTCTCTTATTAATACTTTTTAATTTAATTTGCAGACCATGGATACATTAACATGACTTATGAGGAACTCATGGGCTTTTGCCTCTTCCCTAATTTTTGAGGTTTCCTATAAAAGCCTCTGTGTGGTTCCTGTGCTTGACACCACTTGAGGTCTGCTCCTATCCTGAAGTCCTATTTTTTTTTCCTTTGGGTCAAGAACATGGAATATATAAAGAAAAACTCAAGGCAATATCTTTCTAGAAGAAGCAGGTGGAGAATACTGGAAATGCAAGGAAATGTGTTAGTGAACCGAAATCCCAGAACATATCGTAGTATGCAGTGAGTTAACAAAATGGAATAGTTTTTTTGTTGTTTTTCAGAACACAAGAATAATGCATCAAGGTGTTTGTCTTTTTTTAATTTGTTTTTTGTTGTTACTGTTTTTTCTTGCTTGGTTCTTTCTCTTTTTCTTTTTGCAGGTTTAACTAATTTTAATGGATCATGTTGGGCATGGTGCTGCATGCCATTAATCTTAGCACTTGGGAGGCAGATCTATAAACAAATAGTTATACAATAAACATTTATAAACATTCACAAACAAAAATAGTTTGCAACCTTTCTAGGAATTGTAGAACAAACAACTAAAAGAACAGCCATGTGGGTGACGGTTGAACTAGGGAATTGTACTTTGGTCTTTTCACTTCAAACCCATCAGCTTCCATCTTCTTCCTCTTCTCAATGATCGCACTTATTTTCTTCCACTGGCGATCAAGCTCTGCCTTATCATTGGTTTCTTTGAAGCGTCTGGTTTTCTGTCCTTCAAACATCTTGATACCATACTGGAATGCAGCCTTGGGCAAAGCCTCTTTGTTGTTCATATATTCGCTATATTCCTCCTGAGTATCAAAGTCCCAGCGGCCTAAGGGACCCTTCTTGTTACCCTGGTCCATTTTGCTATAATCTACCTCTTCATCACTATCTACAGCCATGTCATCCATCGTGGCTGGATAGCATTCTGCATAACTATTGGACATGCCAAAGAAATCACCCAGCTGCTTCTTGTCTTCTGGCTTCTTCAACGATTCAGTGCCTTCCCAACCAGCAGTCCCAGCAAATTTTTCGTTGATGGACTTGATCAACTCTTTGGCAGATCCAGGTCCTTTGTCAACATCCATGGGCTCATCATCCACTTTTGGCTTCTCAAAGTAGCTGTGCCTTTTCTTTTCTTCCTCTCACTCCCGCTCCCGGTCTCTGTCCCGTTGCCAATCACGTTCCCGTTCGCGGTATCTCTCCCGCTCCTTGTCCCGAGGTGTTTTGGTTGTAGAAGGAACATAATCCCCAATGTCTTCAAAAATGTTCATGTCTGCCTCAGGAGGTTTCTTTTCTTCCAGTTTCCCTTTATCCTTCTTCTTGAGCTTCTTGTTTCGGGTACCCTGCCTCAGGTATGACAAAATCTGGGTAAGCTTGCTGATAACGATGTCAATTGTAGTTAGTGTAGTCTGAGCCTCCATTGTGGGGCAATCAGCCTTGCTGTGTATAAGAGTGGTGGGGATATCCGTGTCTGCATACTCATCATCCAGGTCTACCACATAGGCCATACGGCCTGGTAAGAACAACTCATTTCGCTCATATGATTTACTCTTGAAAAGCATTCGACACACATTGCGGCTAAGTCGTGTTTTAAATTCAATTTTGTTTTCAGGATCCTCATCCTTCTTGGTTTCCTTATGGGGCTTTTCCATGAGTTCTTCTTCCTCCTTCTCTTTGCTGGCAATCTCAGCACGTACCTTTTGAAGCAAAGCAAAATCCAAGCCTTTCACCAAATGGGTGTGTTCCATATCACCGCCCAAGAATTTGGACTCCTGAATCAACTGTCTCCTCTTCTCTGCAGCTGATTTGTCCGCCTCTGCAGTGGGGCCCACAGCCCAATAGTTGGCTGTGGTACTGATCAACTCAGTTTCCTCATAATCCTTATTCACACCATCTCTCCGTTCCTTGGCACGATCACGGTATTTCTCTGCGAGTTCTCTCTCTCTCTCTCTCTCTCTCTCTCTCTCTCTCTCTCTTTCTTGTTGGCGTAGCTTGGCATATTAACTTTTCTTTTTCCTCCTTCGTGCAGCTGGGTCTTCCATCCTCATTGTACTCTCTTGGCATCTCATGGTGACG